ACACCTAGGGACAATTTAGAGTTACCAATCAGCCTAACATGCATGTTTTTGGTCTGTGGGAAGAAACTGGAGTACCCAGAGAAAACCCACGCATGCACGGAGAGAACATGCAAACTTCACCCAGAAAGGCCCCTGGACCGGGGTTTGAACCAAGGACCTGCTCGCTGAGAGGCAGCAGCTCTACCAGTTGTGCCACCGTGCTGCCCGCAGTTAAACTAGTGAGACAAAATATTATACTTGGTTATTTATTTATTGAGGAAAATGATACAATATTACATATTTTTGAATGGTCAAAGAATGTGAACCTCTAGGATTAGCAGTTAATTTGAAGTTGAAATTAGATGAACAATGAATTGTGAATTATATCAGAGAATTCTAAAGGAAAATGTCAATGTGTCCATGATCTGAATCTCAAGAGAAGGTGGCCATGCAGCAACAATGACTGAACACACAAGTGGTTCTACCAAAGAATGGTTCAAGAAGAATGAAGTTCATGTTTTGTAATGACCAAGTCAAAGTCCTGACTTTAATCCAATCCAGATGTTGTGGAAGGACTTGAAGCAGCAGTTAATGTGAGGAAACCACCAACATCCAGAGTTGAAGCTGTTCTGTACGGAGGGTGGGCTAGAATTCCTCCAAGCCGGTGTGCAGGACTGACCAACAGTTACCAGAAACCTTTAGTTATGGTTATTGCTGCACAGGGAGGGGGAGTCACACCAGATACTGAAAGTAAAGGTTCACATACTTCTGCCACTCACAAATATATAATATTGGATCGTTTTCTTCAATAAATACATGAACGTGTATGCATGTAGGTCACAGGGTTCACAGATCTCCAAGCACCTCTGTAAATCCGTAACAAGAAACTGGTTCTTAAGTCGAGGTGCACTGTATGTGTTGAAGATGCTTCTCCAAATCTTTGGGAGTGTCAGACAGTTCAATTGTAATCTGAAGGTGTCGAAGAGGCACGGGTCGACTCTGTGACAGCAATCAAATGTTGCCTGGAGTCAAGTGTCAATCATCAGAAAACTATGAGGACATGGTTGCTTTTAGGATATTTTTATACTGGTTTCAAATGTGAGCATTTTATTTGATTGATTTTTCTTTATTTGATTACACTTCTTGTCAAATCATCGTTGATTTCACCTTTTTTTTATTTTATTTTTTTTATGGAAAGCATGTGATGCATTTATTTATTTTGTCATACTTACTCATTCACCACTCCAAGTCATAAGCTGGTTGCAGCCCAGTGACGTTGTTCCCTTCTGGTGAATCACACAAACGCCTTATACTTTACCAAAAAGGTTAACTTTTAATATACCTTCGTTTGTTGCGTCCTGACCCCTTCATCCATCCCACCCCCCGCTGCTTCTTCACGCTCACGCTCTCACACCCCTAACGGCATGTACACATACCCCCTCTGTCACACACCCACCACCCTCTACGTCAGTGGCAGACGGTGTGAGGGGGGAAGAGAGGTGTATAAAAGAGTGAGGGACTTCCGAGGTAGAGCAGAAGAAACATCTGTAGTTTGCAGATTTGATGACCACCATCTTCCTGACCACTCTCCTCTGGACCTCTGACTAGTCTGAGCTGCTCAGACACTTTCTCTCTCTCACACACACACACTTAGTCACACACTCGTCTTTGAGAGCCTCCTCTTTACGGCTCCTGTAGCTCTGGTCCTACACTCCTCTCACAGCATGCAGCTCCTGGTGGTCTTAGCAGCTCTCATGGGGGTTCTGATCAGTGTAAGAGCAGCGGCCGTGCTTCCGTTGGAGGATAGGAGCCCCGTCCATTTGACCAGGGTGAGGATATTATCATTTTCCATATCTGTGGAAATGTTTTTTCGTGATTGTGCAGTAAATTTCCACGTTTTAGTGGTGAAAACGTTCTGTCATTTAGTCTTTATAAAAACTATTCAAACTTTTTTTTTTAAAGCTGCTTTTAAGCATGACTTCTGTGTCACTTCTAATAGTTACTTAAAAAAATGTTCAGTGCACCTTTTACTCAATCTGCTCAGTTCTTAATCACGTGAAATAAAAAAGTATATTTATCCCTTTACTTGTTTTGTTTTTTGGCAGGAGCTGAGCAAAGAGCGTAAAGAGCTGATCCTAAAGCTGGTGTCTGGTCTGTTGGACGGAGCTCTGGACTCCAACACGTTGCCAGGTGAAGCGGCCCCTGTCGACCTTGAGGAGCCCCTGGAGTCTCGCCTGGAGGAGAGGGCTGTCTATAACAGGTTATCAATACCGCAGCGTGACCGCAAAGCCCCTTGTAAAAACTTCTTCTGGAAAACCTTCACCTCCTGCTAACAGTGTCCACCCCCTCCAAAAAAAAAAACAACATCCTGGCTCTGCCTGCCTCTGGTCCTCCTCCTTCCCCATCACTTCCCTCAGCTCAACATGAACTGTAGTCGATCTCAGCTGTACATATCATCCACACATGAGCGCCATTGATGGACTTCACTGAGACAGCGTGTACGTTTGAGTATCAACTATTTGTGTATACAATGTATGTATTTATTGTATCAGAGTTTCTTTCAGGGTCGGTAATAAAGCATGGTTGTAATATTTTGACATGGTAACAGCAGTGGCTTGCTTTTACAAATTATTCTATAAAAAGAAAGTCATATTTTTCACCTGCTTCTGTAATAGAAATACAAAGTCAAATTAAATGCAAAAATTGTGGCTGGACTTTTTGTGTGTGTGTGTGTCTTATTTTGAGTTTCAAACTATATATATATATATATGTATATGTATGTGTGTGTATAGTAAATTTTAGTAGGGTAGTAAATTTTTCTTCATCCGGTTTTTACTTTCGGGTCATGGGGGTCACTGGTGCCCATGTCCATCAAGTGATGGGAGACAGGTCTCCAGTCCATCACAGGGACACATAGAGACAAACGAAACAAACAACCATTCACTCTCTCGCTCACACCTAGGGAGTTACCAATCAGCCTAACATGCATGTTTTTGGTCTGTGAGAGGAAACCAGAGAGAGCATGCAAACTCCACCTAGAAAGGGCCTGGCTGGGATTTGATCCAGCGACCTTCTCGCTGAGACGTAACAGCTCTAACTGTGCCACCGTGCTGCCAGATTAAAAATCAGCCAGTCAAATATATTCAAATCTTAAACCTTAAATAAAGTTTTTAACAAAAGTTGCAGTAATTACTTTTCTAAATCAACAGCTTGTTTTCTAGAAGTCAGAACAAACTGAGATTTGTTGCCTTTTCTTTGCAAATAACAAAACGGACTCAAGCTCCTTATGAACAATATGAAAAGCGGCACATCTAATTTAAGTGTCTCTTCTTAATGCTCAGTCACAGGTTGAACGAGACGCTTCAGTGACTTATTACAGGACATTAAACATGTCTGCATAACAGTAATACCTTCCCTCCTTCTAATTCTGTTCGGAAGACACAGTTGCAGCACGAGTAGGGTTTAAAGGAGGAAAAAAGATAGTAATTAGAGCAAGAAAAATAAAATATTTTAATCATCAAAAGACAATGAGACAAATATAAAACTAGAAAAAGGAGGTGTTAACAGAGGCCTCAGATGTGACCCGACAAAGAAACGTTCCTGTTGCATGTGAAGCTAATGAGGTGTGTTCAGTGTGTGACTCAGTCAACGTGCTTTATGATTCTTCAAGGCACAGGTTAGCTACAAGCTGCGTTGTTCCTTATCATCACACTGCACTCCCATGCTCCCCGGGACATGTACGACCCCATGTGTGTTCTTTAGTGGGGGAGAACCACAATCAAACACTGATTTTGAGCCTGAGCTCATCTAGTCCTGCTTGTTGAGTCGGTTCAAATGACCAGCGTTCTCTTTTAGTTGGGAATAAACAATCATGAGGCATGCAGGTAAACTGAAACAGGAATGATGCGTGTTAGTCTGTGCGGCTGAAAAATAAAATAAAATGTTTTGTGACGTTTAACAGCTAGGATATAAAGAAAGAACAATTTGTATCAAAGAGCTGTCGAAAACAGGGAAAAAACCCCCACATTTTATTGAATACTTAAAAAGTAATGTGCATATTTTTTTATCATTTAGCACGAAATAGCTTCAGGTAAATAATTTTAATCAATTCATGCAATTGGGCCAAATTTTCCAATTTAGTTTTATTTACGAGCAATTAAACAGTAAAAATTAAACAATTAGTGCCTCTAAATTGTCAAATAACCAACATTAATGAGACTCAAGACTGTATAAAATCCCTAAACAGTCAGATGAAATACAAAACTCATCTCAGCCTGATTACAGTCTCATCATCGTTCTGTTCAGAAGAATAGCAGCTAATGAGTCGTAATCGTGATGATTGAACACTCGCGCTTCTGAGTAAATAACAGGTTTTGCAATAAAGTTCATGTTTGTGACATGTTTTTTCTCTTTTATTGTTGCGTTGGGGCTTGAGACAGCTCATCGTTGGTCTAACCTAGTTTTTTTTTATACACTCTCCTGCAAATCTCACTTGATGGTAAGTGATGGTGCAGCGAATCTCAAAGCTAAATAATTACATGGCTCTCACATCCACTTGGAACCGTGCTCTTTTAATGATGCTGAGCCGACAAAGGCCTCTGTGGGTTTACTTAATTACAGGTCATCACGAAGCACGTTTATTCATGCACATTTATTTTTTAAGAGAGAAAAAAGAAATTGTGCGGAAAAAAAATGACACATTTACAGATTTCAAAACAAGTAGAATGTAAAATTCTTCATATTATTGTAGAAATGCATTATCAGTAACAGATAAATGTCAAAAGCAGATTTTTTTTTTTTTTTGGTAATTGACACCAAACACCATGGAGTCAAGGCTGTACACAGAAAACAATTTGCAGCCGGCGGTGAAGCTGTCCACTCCTGACTTCCTGTCTGAGCCTAAATGAGCATGCGGAGGTGCAACATCAAAGCTGATGGCTGCAAGCAAAGCATTTTATTGGCTTCCCTTTTGATCTGAATGAGGAGGAGGGAAAGGACTACTCACGTCCTAACTGTGTAATTCAAATTTAAATGTGACTTCATGTGTGCGGGTGTTTAGAAAACACAAAAACCAAGGCACTGACACTCCACCTTAAAGAAAGGAATAAAATTGAAAAAAAAAAAACTTCAGAGTGAGACATCCTTGATTATTTGTGTGGAGAATAAACCTTACGGGCTGCTCAGGAGAAATCGTGACGTCTGAAACGCCCTTACAGTGTTATCTAATGTTGTATTCATTTGTTTAGGGGCGTGGTACAAAAGCAGTTACCATCATGTTTATTTTTGGGAGAAAATATATTTTTAGAAGTATTGTATCTTAATTAAGAAAAATAAAGTCTGAACAACAAATTTAAACAATGCAAGTGAAAGCATTCCTTATTTACTGGAACTATATGAATGTTCAAGTGATCATGTTGTGTCCACCTAATGTCCAGCAGAACCTACCATTCTTTTTCTTCTTCTCCTCCTTCTTGTTCTTCTTGTTCTTTTTTCTTTTAGGGTGTGTAAGAGGCAAAATGACTGTTATGTGTTGTGTTGTTGATGGTGGCACAGGTGTTCAGATTTGTCCGACCCTGCAGGTAATTGCATGAGGGGTGTGGCCACATATTACTTAGTTGATCCAGAAGGTAATTGCAGCAGGTGCTGGGTTAGTAGAGTTTCTTGAAAATGTTTCCGTTGACCGTCACTGGAGGATTGTCAGTTTAGAAACGTCACTTTTGATCCAATATCTTTTTCCGTCAAACTGACCAACATGTAAATTAATGCAAGCGCTGTTTTCTGGATGGCAAAAGTAATTGTGTTACTTTTAATAAATATGCAAAATACAAGGTGGACTCAGCATGGATTAATGGAGACGCATCACAGAGCAAACTCTACTCAGCCGGCAGCGACTTTTTTGTGGATCAAAGTCGCTACAGGTGGAAAATACACCACACTCACACCTTTCATTCAGTTTTGAAAAATTTGCACATTGCTACTGGATCACAATCATGTTCTTTAATCAAAAACGTAGCAAGTAATGATAATCATGTGTTGCCAATAACTATTTGGTCAAAACTAAATGAATAAATCTCATATAGAACATTATTAAATTGTGTGTAGGATTCTGGACAAGCCTCCAGTTTCTGAAATTGCCAACACTTTAGCCACAACAGGCAGAGATTTTATTGAAGAGTCGACATTTAGTCTTTTTGTGTTTCTAAACAAATTATTCCTTTATTCAAAAATGCAAAAAATATATTTATAAAGAAATTCACGATTGTACATTGGTTAAATTGCAAAATAAAATAATTTGGTACCATGCTGCACTTACATGTAAAAATAAATTTAGATCCTACCTACTAAAACACAGCTGTGCCATTTCCCATGAGAGCCGAGAGATTAGTGGATTTAACAGGTGTGTCAGAACTCATTTTCATCCTCCCTGGTGTACATTTAGAAACAGTTAGCATCAAATCGTCCCCTAACCGGGCCTCCGGCAGACAAGACAGGTCAAATTAACACCCGCTTCTCGGCTGAATGCGTCTGAGGACAGGTGTGAACAGGTACGTTGTTTGGCAATGCCCTCACTAAAAGGAATCCTGTGACCTGCCCTGCATACATTAAACTCTATAAGTTTGATTATGGTAGTATAAAAGTATTCACATGAACGGAAGCTCAATTTGATGGACGTTGAGCTATAATTTGGTGTGGTAGTAGCAGAGAGTCATCCTCATCATAGACTCAAAGAGCAAATCGATTGCATAAAATATTCATTTGATAGTTGGCATAAAAAGTGGTGAGTATGTATTCCTTTTAGGATTGCGCTCTGGAGCTTATTGGAATAATTTGGGGACATAACCAAATAAATTTTACATAGCACATGATACAAAAATGTAAATGTTTTGTCTGAAAACTGAGATGAAGGTTCTGTGCAGCTCATAGATGTTAAAGTCTTTCCGGATGTCTTGCCTGCAGCAACTTTAATCACCTCTGCCAGCCAAGCTGATTAGTTTTGTTCTGGTTTTTGATTAGGTTTAACTTGTGACCTGAGCTCCGAATAAATGCAGTCTGGTTGACCTGCATTTCAAAGTTAAATATACAAATAAATTATGATTTAAAAAACAGTTCTATGGAAGCAGTCATGCCCAGTGTAAAAACTATAGTCCTAGTCTTTGCTGCAAGTTTGAACAATAATGTTCGGAGATCATTACATCTTTAAAGGAAATGTCTTTTCAGTAAGACGCAGAAGAATTGTAATTTCACATATTTCCGCTGTTGATCAGACACTACTTTCAATTTCTGAAGATGTAAATACATATTTGTATTATTAAATAAAGTGACAAATCTTTATGATAAAACAAATTATGCTTTTCAAAAGCATCATAAAGATCCACATTGTTGGGAAAAACGCGGTGTTTTCAGAGAGAAGCTGAGCCAAAATTTCAACACACACACAC